CAAACTCTCCTCCGGCATCTGTCGCCCAACTTTTTGTTGCCAGTCTTGCCGGCGCGTTTGCAAGTATTGCCGTCGCTGCACCATTCGACGTTATTAAAGTTAGAATGCAAGCGACGAGTATTGATTCTAATAGAGTGAGAGGATTAGAGCTCTTGAAAGTTCTTGTTCGAAATGAAGGATTGTGGGCGCTAACGAAAGGTGTTGGACCTAAAATGATTGCTAGTGGACCCAAAGTTGCGTTTTCGTTCACTGTTGCCCAATGGCTGGCTGAATTCTTTGCAAAGGAATGAGACATTGAATTATTTCATTAAAAGCATCAAGAGAACTCTTTTATTATTTTTATTGTGCCTAAACTGACGCTTCAAATCACGGTTCACCAATTCTCCGTGCAGTTATTGCAAATCTAACATCTTCAATACTTTGTATTGAGTGCTCATAGTGTTTTTGAACACTTCGTCCATCCATAATTAACAAATCACCGTGTTTCAGTAATATTTTCAAACAAACCCTCTTAATTACTTTGTGTTCGGCAGTTTCAGAATCAAGTTTTGCGCTCCTTTTCCTTTTTTTTGGCAATGGTGGTGCCAAATTGGATGGTTCAGTCAAAGTCGGTGGTTTAACAGTGTAGGCGGTTTTACAAGGGCCTGGAATCTTGATTGAGTTTCCCCGACGAGCTGGAGGGGGTGATTCGACTTTCCACGCAGGTGGTCGGCTTGCTTGACAACCAGTATTATTTTCTGGTGGTATATGCTGAAGTGGGTCGTTATTATACGGCTGAATCATTTGCAGTCCTGGTATCGACGGTGATGGTTGATGCCAGTTTGTTTGAACTTTGCGATCCTGTTCTTGTTTTATCCATAAAAAATGCTGCTTCTGCATTTGAGATATCCGTTCTAATTCATGTCGTTGCTTTTCCTCGTCTTCCTTCCATTTGTTTACGTTTTGTATCAACATAGAGAGGGGTGGAAGCGTGTGAAAACTGGGCTCCATGCTTTCAGTATCAGAGTTAAACGACCGTGAATATTTTGACATTTCCTGCAGAATCAAAGCAGCTTCAAAATCTTCATCAGTATCGGTATCCTCGTAAAATGTCTCCATCATGTTGTATTTTTGGTTTTCATCAGATATAGATTTTGGAGGCGTTATCGGTTGTACGTGTCTGCTTTCGAAAGCATCAAAATAAGGCGCTTTAACAAGCATTGTGGGATCAAAGTCGTTATTTGAGTCACTACACACGTCGTTGCGAAATTCGTTTTTTCGTTGGGGGTTACGTTCGCGAAACCACATTTCAGCTGAACTTCCAAAAGACCATGAAATCACGCTTGCGCCCAACCCTTTTTCGTCTGTCCTCGACTGTATCAGTATACAACAAAGATCAAAAACAAAAAAAAAAATTCTCACCATCTGTGTGGAAGTTCATTTTTTGGCCCTTCAAATATCCAAGCACTAACAATTCGTTTAAATTTAATGCAGGGACAGCAGTTTGAATATGCTCAAACGCGATTTTAACAGGTATGGGGGAATTTTCAAAAGATGTCGACTCATTTTGATTATTAATGTATCGATATTCATGACCAACATTAAATGAAAATTGCTGCGAGAGAAATTTTGAAACTGTAATTGTAATATATGAGCGCTATTATATTAGCGAATGGATGGAGGCTCTTATTTCTCTTACTTTGATGCGCCTTGAAGGTCCTGCGAGATAGAGGCAAGTCGCTGTCATTTTTGAATGCTTCGAGAATTTTATCTGCAAGTTCGGAATCAGCAGCTCCGTTGTCATTGACTGGACTCCGCAAATGATAAACTCTGCCACCTCCGATTGGCAGAACGAACACGGTCGCTTTATGCCGGTGAAAAACTGAATTCGGCGACATGAATAGAGGGGTTTCTAAAGTGTAGCTTTGTATTTTCGACGGCTGGTGTATATGAAAAAAACCTTTCAGCAGCGTGGATTTCTGGAGTTCTGAAGTTTGTGAATTTGAAGTTGTTTTCAGATTGTAGCGAATAACTGCTTTTGCCTGCAGAAAGAAAGAAATAAAGTCGAGTGAGCGTGTGTAAATTGAGCGAATATCAGCAGTAACAGTTACATGGCAGTTCGTGTTAAGGCATTTCCAATGACTCCACGCTACTCTTGAACTAATGCGGCCACAAGCGGTGCAATCTAATGCGGAAGGCCTGCGTGAAAAATCAACATGATTGGAATCAATGGGGACATTTCGTAATTGAAGCAACTCTGGTGAGACAAACGGTGCATCGTCCCACAAGGCCAAAAACTGTGGATTATACAGAGAATCTGTAGATTGATTAATATCAAGTTCAGTCTTCATTCCTGAATGTAAATTCTTGATAAGAAAGAATTCAGCACATTTTTCGTTCAAGCAAACAAAATCGCGATATACGTGGTCAGAACTGCATCCACAGACGCTACAAGTATATTTTTCGGGTCTAAAAACAGGTACTGGTGGTGTATTGTTGGAAAACCACGAATTTTGGTGCTCAGACACGATCCATTGAAATAAAAATTTGTATCTGATTCGATATTTGCGAAAAACATTGTCAGATGTTTCAGTCAAATATTCTTTTGACGGCCAACAGGCTCTAATTAAATATGAACCCAAGACGTTAAAGCGCCCTTTGAGAGTAGATTGGGGTTTAAGCGGATATTCTGAACCCATAATCACAACGACTGGGGAGTTTTTTGCCATGGCAAGAACCATCGATTGAATGCCGCGATCAGTTAAATTTTGAGATTGTTTCAGTTCGTAGTTTTCGCTCAAATGAAATGAGGACCAGACATTATTTTCTGTTGTTCCTTTCTTTGGAACAGAATTTCCTCCACCATGGCTAATTAGTGACCAGTGGGTAAAGCAGTCGCCATTAGATGCAAAGCGGTCAACAAGAAATCCACTACAAAGTCCGTTTTTATGGCTAACGCCAGACTGGTAGCTTTTGAAAAAACGAGAATATTCGCATCTGTATTTTTTTGGTGCTGTCAAAAATCGAGCGGTAAGATCGGAAAAAATACGAAAACCAAACAGAAACAACAATAAAAAAACAAAAGAAAAAACGTACAACTCTTGGCGCGTCTCACAGAAAAGACCTGGCGGAGGTGTCTGGTATGGTCTCGGAGCAGTTTGGCTATTCGGCTCTAGCCCATCAGATTTTGTCCCATGGGTGCTGCCAAACAAGCTTCTTACGGCACCAAGACTATTTTCGATTGCGAAGGAGCAACCACTCTTTCCATATTGTAACTGGACACTCTCGGTCGCCGTGTTTTTGCTTCCAGTTTGAATAAGCATAAGTTGTGTGCCAAGCAAACAAACAAGAAAATGTTACAAAATGGAAATGCGTTCAACACAAACGGCAGCAGCAAACACAGCATCGCAAACAGTAAGCGGATTACAGATGGCGTCAAATTCCCGCCGCTTTCTTCAACTACATATCGCCCGACTTCGTCGTCCAGTCGCATCTCGATTGCCGCATCTTCAGCCAGCACAATAGCGCAAAAAACAAACCAGGAAGCTAGAACCATCAAAATAAAACAAATGAGCGGATTTGCCGTCGGAATGGCATTGAAACCTTCGCGTGGATTAAGGTCTCGCCTATATTTTTTTTGGAGCAAACAAACACTAAACAAGCATTTAAACAGAGATGATATTGTTTTTGCCGGCGGTAAACCAAAAGATCATTTGCGTGAAAACTATAAAAAGCTTAAAGAGCTACAAATCGCGAAACGCCAGGAAGAGGAGGTTTGTTTTGGTCGTTTCTTTTTTAGTTTGCGGCCTAACTAATTCTTAATTGAACTCAGGAAAAAGCAAAGCCGCCACCAGCACCATTCAAAATGAAGCGATTCGAAAATATAAAGCCAAAATTGTCAACACATCGCCCGAATGTAATAGTTAAATATTTATTTTTCCAAATTGGATTTGTAAAGATTTATTTCCAGTCAAAGGGGTCGGAATCCGATATTTACTCGCGTCCTTCAACAGCAAATTCTTCAAATCGGTCTGAATCTATCACATCAACTTCATCAAGAAACTTCATTCATGTCAATGCCATTAAAGCGAAAGAAGGTAGACCCAAGGTAGATTCTCTTACGTCTTATTTTTTACCCCTAAATATATTTGCAGGTATTAGATGGAACCGCTGAATCCATTAGTTTGAAAAGACCAACAAAAATGGGCGAACTTCCGAAATAGTTCGTTTTATATCCTATATTTTGTGCTAATATTTATTTACTTCATAAACTATTGTAGCCTTGTTGATCGGAAGATGGAATGGGCCGAACGCGAAAAGCAACGGCTGGATGATCTGAAAAAAGAATGGTGAGGTTTAGCTTTGTAAGATACTTCAGTAATAATTCAAAAACTGATCCATATTATTAGCATCCCGAAAGGAATGAAATGCAAGTGCCAATTTCCAAAAAATCTTAACCCTAACTCTTAAAGTAACAGTACTTTCGGAGGATGAACGACTTGACACTCTTGCATTTCTACATGAAACTCAAGAGAAACTCCTTGGTGAATTGTCGCAGTTTGCACTAGTCGTCGAATCAGCAAAGATGAAAAACAGAAAGAGCGAGCTGGAGAAACAACTCACCAAAATTGAAGAAGCAATTGATGTTTTTTCAAGGCGCAAAGTGTTTGTCAATGAGGATGAATGAAATTTGGAAATTGAGTTTTTGATTTTGAATTAGAGTTGATTTATTTCACTCTTGTTTTAACAGTTTTGCTGTTCATGAATTTATCCAGGCAATCTATGTTTCATTCTCATAATTCACAAGTTCAAACCAAACTGTCCATTCCAATTAAATAGACTGTTAAGACAACTGCACGTATTTAGCTAATCTGGAATAAAATCTACCTCAAAAATCAAGTGGCTCAATTTCAGTCAACAGAGAAGAGACAGAATGAACACATCTGCCAGCAAGCTCTTTGACCAAAACCAAGCATCACACAAATCCAGCCTACCATTGGTTGCAGAACTAAAATTGTCCATCCGACGACCCGGGTTCGAACCGGGGACCGCATGATATCTGATGCTATTACAGTCATGCGCTCTACCAGCTGAGCTATCATCGGATACCCATCGGGCTCAAAAATAAATTAATTTTTCGTAACTTCAACTCAAAATTAGTACTATTATATTCTTATTTTATTATCATATTATCTTTTTTCCTTTATTATTCTTCTATTTGTCAGCCGCAAGTTCTTTTCCATTTCACAATTTTCTTTATGAAATTTTTACTTGCGCCGCCCAAAAATTCTATTTCACTTTGTTTCAGAAAGGATCCTGAAACTCTATAAATTCAGAGTTATTGAAATTAAAATAAACAGAGAATTCTTTATTAAAAACTTCAACTTCGCTTCGCTTTAAAACAAAAAGGAAGACTTTGCCGTGTAAGACACAGCTCAAGAATATTCGTTGTTTCGCTCGTTCCAAGTTAACTTCGCCCACTTGGAATCTCTTCGATTCTCTCACACTATGTGTAACGGAATAACTATTTTTGGTGTTATCTGAAAAATTCTACAAGAAACTCAATAATTCAAGAACGAAAAACAATCAAGACCTACTTCAAGTGTCATCTTATTCTTCTATATTTTTTCTATCACTTTATCAATTCTTATACTTTTATTTCACTTTTATTGCTACTTTCTTACTTCTTCATTTTCCCCTTTTTCTCTTTAATTTTCTTTTGCTGGAAACTTCTTTCTTTCTTTTTTAAATCCAAAACGATAAAAACCTGAACTATGAATGCAAATAAAAAAAAGAGAAATCTTCTAAAACTTAATTCTTTGGCTCTTAAATCCACTAACTAGAGGCTCTTTCTGTAACATTTGGTAGCACCGGCTATACGAACCTCCCTCTTCTGAATACTACTACTACTACTACTACTCTACTATTATCCACATTTTTTCATCATGGATCTTACTATGAATACTGAGGAAACTATTGCCTTGGATGAAGCTGTGAGATGTCTCATTGCTCAACAACAAGCTCTACAACAAACAATTGCCAATCAAGGAACAAACCTGGAAGCCTTTCAACGTACAATCACTGAGCAAAATCAAGTCATTAACCTTTTGACAGAAAAACTCAATG